GTTTCCAGGGTGGTAAATCTTTACAGAAGTAGATTGCTCTGTCTTCCTCCCATGGAGCAGCTGGTGGGTTTGAACCATCAACCTTGTGGTTAGCAGTCAAATGCATTAGGCACTGTGTCACCAGAGCTCCTTAAAAAAATGCTCATTTCTATCCATTCACTCCATTGCCAAAAAAGTCAGCTTTGGGCTGTCATAACTTCAGTTCATCCTTGATGGTTTTATATTTAGTCAAAAAATATATGTGTTTAGCCATTAAAGTAGTCATAACTTAAAATACTCACTTTAGCATACTGGAACTGAGTAAGACAAAAGTTCTGGGAAAGTAAGGCCAGGAATCAAGAAAAAAATCAGCAGCACAGTTGTTTAAAAACCCAATGGTATGAAAACATTTGTGAACTGCAAACTAAGCTTTTCCCTGTTTGTATTCAGCTTGGGCAGTTCTTTGTGAGACATCCACTGTCATTCAGCTTTGATGCCAAAAACTGTAGAAAACCTGGAGTCCAGAAAGTAAACAAATGACAGCAGTAGCTCTGCTAGGAACAAAGCGGCATTTTCCCAAAAGCAAGCAAACCCAAACATGAAAAGGATTGTTCTGGGGCAGGGTGACTGCCAGTGACCCCATTACAAAATCCCAGGATACTTTATGCTTCTGTTGAGAGGCAGCATCAACATGATGTTGACGAGGACATCCGAAGGTAAGGATGGCCTGGGGTACGTCACACTGGAGTATGTTTATGTTGGTGAAATCCAGCTAAATCCATCAGCAAGGTCGGCATGATCAGCAAAACTGAGGGACAAGTAGAAGCATCCATCACTGTTTGGGTCAAGAGACAGTGTATTAAACAGCAACATGAATGCTATCAGCGACTGAAAGGAGAGTGTTGGAAATGTGAGAGGCTATCGTGAGGCCAGATCCTAAGTTTGGAAAAGTCACGGGGAGAAAGATGAAAATGTTCTGTTATTTTTCTATGGAAGAGAACATTTGGTACACAAGTGACCTGAAACATGAGAATACTGCGAACAGATGGAGAAGTAGCTGTTTACTTGTACTGAGGATCAAAGGACAAATTATACTTCCCGGAAGATCACTGAGATGATTTAGTTTGTGTAGGGAAAGATGAGGAAGCACGTGTTTGAGAGGAAAACAAGCTTTCCCTTTAAAACTGTGTTTGACTTATCTTAACCACAGAATGGTGCGTCCAGTCCAGTCACCACAGGTGGGACGACTTAAACAAGTCCCACTCAGCCCATCTAATAATACAGGTATTTCGCAGGCCATAGTTCTCCTTCCCTCCAGTGTGCTCTGTGTGGCTGTGGGCAGGTCACATTTCTCTAACCCTCAATCTCCCCCTCCGTAAAATAGGGCTGCTGAGATTCAGTCCAGGTAATACAGTAGCGGCTCAGTAAACATTAGCTCATTATCATGATTACATTAAAAAGTTAATTAAAGACTTAAGAATAATAGGGTTGGCAGACAGACAATGGTCCTGTAAGTTTATGTGAATGATCACAATTCCCAGGTGTATAGTAGAGCTGACAAGAGGCAAGGTTGTGGTCACTGCTTGGTCATAGCCAGCTACCCAGAGGGACCGAGTAGTTGAACCTCTGGGCTTGGGACCATAGTCGCAGGGGACATCAAGCTCAACTGGCATAACATATTATACAAAACACTGTTCCACCTCCTACTTTGGCAAGCAGCAACTGGGATCTTAAAAGCTAGCAAGATGCCATCTAGATGTAACAATGGGTCTCTCCTTGTCCAGAGCAAAGAAGAATGAAGAAAACCAAAATTCATGGAAACAATTAGTCCTAGCGACTGGTACACCATCCGATCTGCAGCCTATACAACTCTGAAACCAGAAGAACTAGATGGTGTCCAGCTACCACTGTCATCTGCTTGGAAGGGGATCTATGTAGGAGATCCTTGATAGAGAGGGAGAACAATGTGGAACAAAACTCAAAATCATTTGGAGAAAAAAAAAAAAAGGGGGGAGAGGGACCAGGTTTGCTGGTCTGATAGAGCCTGGTGGAACCACTGAGACTATGGCCCCTAGCTGCCCTTCAGTCTGGAATTGAATCCACACCTGTGGTTTCCAGCCAAACAAAAGACAGGCATGTGAGTTGAACATTTACCTCAAGTAGATATGCTCCTTGGAGAGAACAATCATGGGAGAAAGAAGGGCTGCTTATGCACAGGGAGACAGCTTAGGGGGCAGAAGTGCATGGAGGGATGGACACTGGGAAGAAGTTAACTATAGGGAGGAAGTGGGAGGAGAGCTGTTGCATTGTGGTAAACTGTGGTCAATGACATGAGACAAAGTGAATGTGAACTGCTGTATGGAAAGTGAATTTGCTCTGTAAATCTTCACCCAAATCACAATTAAGAAAAAAAAGAACGACCCCCCCCCCAAAAAAAAGACTTAAGAATAAAATACCATTTATTAAGGAACGTTATTTACATAGATGCTGACAACTTCTCAGCACTGCAGCTGTACGGAAATGGGGCTTAATGTCCTTTAGTATAAAAGACAATGTGATGGCTGATGTGAGCCTCGTTGGTTTTACTGTATTGGGAATGTATGTAGGAGACGTCCTTTCACGTAAAAACAAACGGCAAGGCATCACACAGCAAGTACAAACGTTGGAAGCTCATTCACAGTTCATTTCACACAAATGCCCTTGAGAAATCTCAATCTGCTGAACTGCAGACAGTCAAAATGCTCAAACATCTCAGGAAACAAAAATGATAAGTGTCTTTGTCTTTCTAGAAGTAACTTTCCACTTGGTCATGTGTTTTGATGTTTTAACTGCCCCCCTCCCAAAGCTGCTAAAAGACCAGTCTGCCTTAGGTTTAGTCTGAAAATAAAATGTTTAAACTCTAGTTTTTCAAGTGTTTTTAAAAGATTAGCACTTCTCAGAAAAAATAAAAAAGATGTAAGTGGGACCACCACATCAGTGTAGACAGGCACCATACTGTATGTACATTTCTCACAGAATAATTTCTAGAATGTGCATAATTGCAGCAGGAAGTGATGATGGGAATAATTTGCCTCTAAAATCCTAGAGATTAAAAGGGGGAAAGATGTTAAGCTAGATGCCAGTTTTCTATAAAAATGAATTTGTACAAAACTGCTTTATACTCTAGGAATACATAAGCCTGGCACTGGCTAATTACACATTATAATGTTTTATAGACTTAAAAAAAAAAAGGAAAAAAACTGGCTCATTCTATTGGATGAGAAACTCTGCCAATACTTAAACATGGCGACATTTGTACAAAAGCTGCACCCGGAAGTCTACTCAGCTCTTTTCCACCTGAATGCACCTTCCTCTTCCATCAACAAAGATGGATGTTGAAAACCGGCGACCACACAGATGAGAGACTGTGGGAGCCTGGGCAGTGGTGGGGACCCACGCAGCACCTCCTGCCCTTGCTCACTGTGCACTCAGCTGATGTGCTGTTAGGACCCAGCCTGCCAGGTTATCTGCCTCCACCTTGATCACCCACGCCACATCATGGCTCTCAGAGCTGTTTGGAGTCCAAAGACTGAGTTTCTTCTCCCACAGGTCTGCTGCCTACTGAGGTAGCCACCTACTGACATGATGTCAGAGGCAGGGAAGAACCCACGTTTCTTCCCTGAGGCCTCACTGGCCATCCATAGGTTTCTAATTCAGATACTCGTGCAAGAGGTAACATCTCATTGAAGGTGTACACTCTCCTGAAATCCATTCTGATAAGCAGGTTTTGAAGGGAGAAGAGAAAGGAGAACATTGGGAGCTTAAGGGAGGAACAGAAAGGCCAGAGAACAAGGGGACACTGTGCATTAAGGGGCCCAGGGGTGCTATTGCCAATAGTTGGCTTCTAAAAAGTGAAGGATTAACATTGACATCCAAAGGCTACTTTTGCCATACTGAATCTTCTGCCTTGGCTAACTACCAGTTCCTATTCTTAGGTGTGACCCATTCCCATCACACTGATTTTGACTCACAGTGACCCTACAGGATAGAGGGCCCCATAGGGTTTCCAAGGCTGTAATCTTTACGGAAGCAGATCGCTACATCTTTATTCAGCAAGGCAACTGGTGGGTTCAAACTGCCAACCCTTTGGTTGGCAGAGTGCTTTAACCATTGTGCTACCAGGTTCTTCATTTTCAGGCATAGCTTATATAAATCAAGTCTGTAAAAGTCTTTATTTAATCAGATGAATAGTTCTCTAAATTTCAAAATATCTCACATCCCAAGGAAAATCTTTCTACAATAAACAATTAAAACAAAGGTTTGGAATTTGCAGATTTTAAGATTTTAGTTTTAGCACAATTACAAAAACAAAAGAGGTTGTAAATTTCCAAAACCCAATATATGTATAAATTATAAGTGGAACATGTCCTTACCCCAAGCTATTTAAATCAGATTTATTATAGATACATCCCATTTATGAGGTAGTCAGATTCCTCAGATGTTATGGGACGAGCTTTTTTAAGTTTCTGTTTCACCAGTCGTAGTCGGCAAGCAACCATGAGCAGCAGCAAAGCAGTGATGGCCAGGCCCAGGGCCAAGGGTAGCACTGCACCTGTGAAAAGGTCAGCAATGAGAAGGGAGGGTCAGAGACTAACTGTAGCAACTGCCATTTACTATGTGATAAGCCCTTTGCACGCCTATTGAATCCAAATGACAACTCAACCAAGTAGGACCAGTATTCCACAGGCGAACCGAGATGCAAACAGGTTATATAATTTGCCTAAAATCACATAGCTTCTGAGTTGCAGGCTAGGTCTCCCACTCAGACCTCTTTTAACACCCAGTTCTGGAGCAGTTCCTACAAAATTTGCCTATCAGTGCATACAAATGTTGCAGTCAGATCACCCTTACATCCATCTGTAATACATAAAGGAAAAATAAAAAGAGACATTCTGACAGTAGGAAATTTTTCATTCTTGCCATTGATTATATTTGTGGATTCATATATGGTCATTCTGTCTTAAAATCAGGATGGGCCAACTCCTATTTCTTGTTTCAGTTAAGGCTTAAGAAAGTTACTTCCTTTTTAAACCAAGGAACCTACTCTTAGCCAGTAGGGCTACTGTTGAACTACTAACTTCAATATATGCTGGTTAATTCTGACAAGGGTAGTTAAGGAAAATCTCTAAGTCTCCTGCACAAGGGTTTTCCTGTGGGGCTGGTCTAGATGCCTAGACCTGAAGTGGCCTTTAAGGCTTACAGGGTCAGGAAGGGACAGGGCGTGCCCAGTTCAGTCTTATCAAGCTCAGCAGTTCTATTCTTAGACCTGCACTGTAATCAGGCCAGGTTTGGAGATGCGATGCCGGAACTATTTTTAGCTGCAGGGTCTTGCCAACTGGTGGAACTAGAGGAGCGAAAGTCTCCACTGGGTAAACTGATTCCATCACATTTTCTTTCATTCATGTATTCATTCATTCTGCATTAATTAAGAGCTTTCCCTGTGTCAGGCACTGAGCTAAGTGCTAGTAATTAAAGATAAACAGCCAATGCTAAATAGTGGCAGCACAGTTTTAAGCAGTTTGTATCTTAACTCGTTTAGTTCTCACAGCAACCAACAGTCCTATTACTATTCCTATTTTACAAGCAAGGGAACGAAGACATCAAGAATTAAGTGACTTGCGAGTGTAAACAGTAGACCACCTATCTAGTCCACAGGATGTTTGCTTGAGGGATTTAGGCATTGTATGGAACTCATTTATGGTGGGTGAGGGAGAACAGTTCACTTGTGGACATTTTCAAGTTGAGAGGCCTATGGGCAATCCAGATGGAGTTTTCCATTAGGCTCTTGGATTATCTGGGCCCAAATGTGGGTGTGCGGTGGGTGCACTGGTGGTTCAGTGGGAGGATTCTCGCCTTCCACATGGGATACTTGGGTGCAATTTCTGGCCAATGCACGTCATGCACAGTCACTGCCTGTTAGTGGAGGCCTGGGTGTTGCTATCATGCTGAACAGGTCTCAGCAGAGCTTCCTGACTAAGACCAGGAAGAAAGGCCTGACCATCTACCTGCAAAAAAATCAGCCACTGAAAAGCCTGGGGGTCACAGTGGTCCAATCTGCAGCTGATGTGCAGATCTGAGCAGCATTTTGTTCTGTTGTGTGTGGGATCCCCATGAGTTGAGGTCACCTGACAGCAGCTAACAACAACGACAAAACAGACCTGTGATCTAGGGACATTTTCCATTTGTCAAATCAGGACAAAGTCTGCAAATTTGATTCCTGTTAAATGCTTTGATGACAAGGAAAATGCAATTGCCCCAAAAGTACTTGCCAGACTCCTAAAAATTATTCTTGACTTTTCAAGATTTAGATGGAATAGTTTCTTCAATGTTTTCAGTTTGGGTTATTTGAAAATTAAAAATTTCCCAACCCTTCTAAAACATACCACTGTATTTTTCTTAGTAACCACCTGAGGGGATGAATGATGTATTCTGTTCATATGACAGGGAATGAGATTCAAAATATGTAACAACTGGAATGGGCATTGGCCAGTTGGACCTAAGATGCTCTGGACACATCTTAGCATGTGAGGGGCAGGCCTAGTTACCCTCTGCATGTCACTGGGGGCAGGATCCTTTTATTCAAATACTTTTGGTCAGGGTACATCCAGTAGGCCAGAGGACAGGGGCGGGGCAGCCAGCTGCTTGACATCTGGATTATTCTTAAGGAACATGTGGCCATCTTTTGTTCTAAGATCATATTTGAGTACTGTCCAGGTGCTATAAAGGAATACTCTCTGGTAAAAAGAAAGTTTTGTCAATGTTTAGATCTATAACTTAAGAGTCATATTGTAGTCCCCTATATTTTCTTGTACTAACTAGGGGAATTAGGGTTAAAAATTCCCTTTAGTAGGAGATCCTTGATAAAGAGGGAGAACAATATGGAACAAAACTCAAAATCATTTGGAGAGGAAAAAAAGGGGAGGGGGGACCAGGTTTGCTGGTCCGATAGAGCCTGGTGGAACTACTGAGACTATGGCCCCTAGCTGCCCTTCAGGTCTGGAATTGAACCCACACCTGTGGTTTCCAGCCAAACAAAAGACAGGCATATGAGTTGAACATTTACCTCAAGTAGATAAGCTCCTTGGAGAGAACAATCATGGGAGAAAGAAGGGCTGCCTATGCACAGGGAGACAGCTCAGGGGGCAGAAGTGCATGGAGGGATGGACACAGGGAAGATGTAACTATGGGGAGGAAGTGGGAGGGGAGCTGTTGGATTGTGGTAAATTGTGGTCAATGTCATGAGACAAAGTATATGTGAACCGCTGTATGGAAAGTGAATTTGCTCTGTAAACCTTCACCCAAATCACAATTAAAAAAAATCCTTTATAGTGTTTGCTTTTTCATTAAAAACAGAAATTATGGAATCAGGGTCCTGTATTCCCACTTACCAAATCCTCCCCCAACCTGTTGTGCCTTATCTCCATCCCTGCTGGCTTCTGTCACTGTCACTAGAGCAATGCAGAGTAGGTACTGGAAGACCTTTACTCCTATTGCATCATGAATAACTCATTCAGAATGCCATCATTTATTTACTGAGCTCAGGCCATGCACCAAACAGTGTGCTAAATGGGCCCAGGCATTCTCCCTAACTATTCTGAGGCAGACCTGGTTACCACCCCCATCTTACTAATGAGGAAACTGAGATCCAGAGAGATAAAATAGCCTGCCTGGGGTCATAGAGTTTAGTAGTGGAATTAGGATTTGAACCTTGGCATCTGATATTAGAGCCTGTGTTCTTAACCACTATGCCATGAGTATAATCTTTCCACAGAATATTACAACCGGAACTACAGTGATTGGTCCAATTAACTTATAAAACAGGAAACTGATGTCCAAAGGTTAGGTTTCTAGTTCAGGAGCCCAAAGATGCAGCATGACTTAGGAGAGGAGGGGACAGTTCTTCTGACCACTGTTCTCATCAATGAACTCCTGCGGCTTCATCTAATATCCTCAGAGACGCGGCAGCCGGTGCTTCTGCATTTTTCTATTCTGTGCAGTGTGCAGTTTTACCTGGTTCTGGGGCTGGGTGTTCCCGTCCGCCTCGATCACTCTTTGACTCAAAAATAAAATTTTCCTCTTTTTTGTGGTTCCCTGAGGAACTACCATCTGCAGAGAAGAACAGACATTGAAAGTGCATCAGAAACTTCAGGAAACAGCCTTATGTCTCTTTAAAGATTAACTACTGATCTTGGATTATTTGAGCCTAAACACGTGGGTGTGTGGTGGGTGCTGAAAGTACCACGGACTGCTAAAAGAACTAACAAATCTGTCCTGAAGGAAGTGCAGCCAGAATGCTCCTTGGAAGCGAGAATGGCCAGACTTTGTCTCACCTACTTTGGTCATGTTATCAGAAGGGACCATTCCCTGGAGAAGGATGTCATGCTTGGTAGGGTGGAGGGTCGACGAAAGAGGGGGAGGCCTTCAACAAGATACTGACCCAGTGGCTGCGACGATGGGCTCAAGTATAGCAGGGATCACAGAGCCGGCACGGGACCGGGCGGCGTTTTGTTCTGCTGTACGTAGGGTCGCTATGAGTCGGAGACGACTCAACGGCACCTAACAACAACACTGAGAAGATCTACAGGATTTATTCCTCTGCTAAGCACAGACCTCACACGTGAGTGCCTGGGTAGTACAAGTGGTTAACTCCTTTGGCTGTTAACTGAAAGGTTGGCAGTTTGAGTCCACCAAGAGGTGCCTCCAAAGAAAGGCCTGGTGATCTACTTTGGAAAAATCAGCCACAGAAAACCCTACGAGCATAGCTCTACTCTGGTGCATACATATGGGGTTGTCAAAGTCAAAGTCAACTCACGGCCAACTGATATTTGATACTGAAACACTAGGTAAGTTGTATCATCAATTTAATACTACAGATTATGTGATGAGTACAAAACCACTAGCATTCTGCTAGAACCATCACCACCCCTGGAGAAGGAAGGAAAGACCTCAGGCTAGCAAAGTCAAGGTCAGTCTCTGGGCTTCCTGCCATCAACAGTGTAAACAGTGAAGACGTGTTATTTTCAAAAGCCATCTCACCGCACCGCTGCCTGGTGGTGTCAGTAGCCCCGTTCCCTCAGGGCGGGCAGGTCTAGTGCATGCCCAGCTCCACTCAGCAGGAAGTGGTCAGGGGGCTGGGATTTCAACTCCAAAGTGTCTAACTGCTTGTTGGTAAAGATAAGAACTTATCGCTGATCTAAGGATAAGCTGTTAAATGTTACCCAGTGTACTCAGGTATAATATTTAGAGCAAATACTAGGAAAAGGAAAATCTTAAGATTTGTATCCCTGGGTTCAGTGAGTCATTAGAATGCCTGTCTATCATTTCCCATAATTCGCAGCCTTTGTGTTTATTGAGGAGCCCTGGTGGCATAGAGGTTAAGTGCTGGGCTGCTACCAAAAGGTCGGCAATTGGTGTTTCGAACCCACCAGAAGCTGGGGGAGGGGCGAAAGGCATGGCAGTGTCCTTCCAAAAAGATTACAGCCTTACACTCTGTTCTAGTCTAGGGTCACTATCGAGTTGACAGCAATAAGTAGGCATATTTATTATATCGACCAAAAACCAGTTGCTGTCGAGTTGATTCTAACTCATGTTGACCCTGTGTGTATGTCAGAGAACTGTCCCCCACAGGACTTTTTTTTTCCCCCCAAAGTCAATAAATTCTACTTTTATTATTGACAATAAATAATTAGTGTATTAATTTCTTTTGCAACTTACGGGACAGCATTTTTTCCATTTTTATTGTGGTGAAAATATACACACCAACACATTCACCAACTGTGGTAGTTAAGGGTGTGTGTCAACTTAGCAGCAGGTGGTAGTTATTCCCGAAGATGAGACTGGCAATCATCTCCATGATAGGATCTACCACAAGAAGCTGAGCAGCTGCTTTAGGGACGTGGTCTGCTTCCCATATATAAGAAGCCACTTTGGGAATGGTCTCTAGCTTTTTGGCACCCTTGGACCCTGCATATAGCTGAGTCTTCATTCAGTAGCCTGCCATGCTCTGCCAATCTTGGGGCTTTCAATGGACTTCAATTAATGGCCTGCTGTGTGGTTTGGTAACATCGGGACTATGCCTTTTTACTTGTTGACCCTGGGTTTGTCAGCCTCAGCAGTTAGCAGCTGCCTGAGTGAAGAAAAGCCTCCAGCTTCAGTGGGCTGGGAGCCAAAGGCAGAGCTGAAGCCCAAAGTCGAGGGGCTTTCACCTAGCCCTTAGAGCCTGGCACCTGGAACTCATACTTCTAACTTCCAAAACCGTAAGAGAATAAACTCCTGTTTGTTAAAGCCATCTCATTTGTGGTATTTCCCTGTCAGAACAGCACTGGGTAACCAAAACATCAACATAACAACTTCCCCATTAATAACTCAGGGACGTTGATGACTTTCATGTGTGGCACCATTATTGCTATCTTTTCCCAAAATATTCCATCACCAATTGGCCTAAACTCAATCCCCTGCAAACAAAAACTTCCCCTTTCTCCTACCCTCCTACCCCTAAAAAAAAACCAAAAAAAACCTCACTCAACTCAATCCATCAAGTGGATTCCGACTCATAGCAACCCTTTTGGGTTTCTGAGACAGTAAATCTTTACGGAAGATCACCTTGTCTTCCTTTCACAGAATGGCTGGTGGGTTTGAACCACCAGCCTTCTGGTTAGCAGTCAAATGCCTTAGGCACTATGCCACCAGAGCTCCCTCCTACCCCTGTTGTTGTTGTTGTTGTTA